TGGCACTGTGCTGTGCTGACACGGAATTGACAGGTGGGGATGGTGGGTCATGCGTGGGGGATGGGTATTGGGACGGGTTGACATTGGGTCATGACGGAGCAGGGTCAGTGTGGCCTCTCGACTGGGTGGAGTTGTATTGCAACGAGGGGACGTGATGGGGAGATGTTGCATCATGACAGGGATCGGGCCAGGGAACGCTCGTGCCAGGACACGGCCTTGCTGGGTCACAACAGGGCCGTGTTCTGTCCTAACGGCGCCGGGGTTTAGAGTGGCAGGGTGGCATTGTGGGGCAGCGTCGTGTCCCCACGGGGTGGATTTGTGCGGTAGCGTGACGGGTCGGCACTGTGGTGTGCCAGGGTGCCGTTGTCTTGGGACAGGGCGGTGGTGGGTTGTGACAGCGCCGTGTTGCATTTCACCGGGGCGATGTAGTGACATGCCATCTTGCCTCACATCCTCTCGGCACAGGCTTCCCACGGTGAGACCCTGACATCACCGAGAGGCTGTTTTAACTGCTCCTGGGGAATTCTGCGCCAAAAAATTAACATTCTGCACACAATATTTTAAAATTCTGCAGAAGTCTGCATAGTTCATTTGTCAAAATACACAATATAATCACGCCAGTTTCAATTATTTTGGTAATTTATTTCAAAATACCTCTCAGCATGTATGTCTGTAACAATACAGATGACAAAAAAGAGTCAGGAAATGTTTTTTGACAAATAGATTCCTTACTAGGCATATTAATACAGAACTTTGAGAAATAATTCCTTTAAACTACAGTGCTGAACCGTATTTCCCGCACCCCTCAGAAGCAGTGCAAAGGCTCGGCGGAGTCGGGGTAATGGAGGAGCTGAGGGAGAGGGAAGTAATTGCTGGGAAGGAGCTTGGGTGTGAACTTTGGAGGGTTGTTGGATATGGGTGGGAAAAGTATGGAACATTTTTGGGGGGGCGGGGCGGGGGGATTGTTAGGGAGCTTCCCCCTGGTTGACCCCTGGCCTTTTCCATTCATCAAGCACATCAGCCCCTGTCCCCATGTGTCCCCCCACCCCAGCTCAGACACCCTCTCCCGCCCATCCCCATGTGGCCCTGCACCACTCCTGTCCCCATGTGTCTCTGTGCCCCCACTCAGCCATCCCCCTTCGCCCATGTGGCCCTGCACCTCTTCCCCCTGTGCCTCCACTCCCATTCAGCCCCTGCCCCAGCCTGTCCTCCCCCCACTAGCCCTTATGATCTCCTATCTGTGACCTCCCAGCAGCTCCATGTGCCCCATGCTGTCTGTCTCCCCATATCCCTGGCACTACATTTCTCTTCCCTCTCAGCAGCTGGGGCTGGCTGGGAGCGGCTGCTTTGGTCTAGCACCACAGCGCCCTCTGGTGGGCAAAAGGTGGAACGGCAGCAACTTTCCAGCAGAAGTTATTTTCTGTGGAAAAAAATAAAAGTATGCACGGCACATGAATTATGTTCACATGCAGTGGTGCAGAATCCCCCCAGGAGTATCTAAGTACATTGGGGCTGGAAGCCGAGATTCCTGGAGAGGGTCTGGGGCTCCATGAATCCCACCATCAACAGGGCTCGAGAATGGGGAGCTCCCTGCTCTAGGGGTATGAGGGGAATCCTCCTCCCAGGGTAAACTGGGTCTCTCTGGCTCCCCTGGCAGGTGGGGACTGTGCCACGCTGCTGAAGAACATTGGGGCCCTGCCTGTGGAGCTGGCGCGAATGTACTTCGCCGAGACCGTGCTGGCCCTGGAGTATCTGCACAACTATGGCATTGTCCACCGCGACCTCAAACCCGACAAGTATGGAGCCAGTGGGGCGGGGAGCAGGACGCCTGGGTTCTCTGCCCAGCTCTGGGAGGGGAGTGGGGCCTAGCGGGGGGGCTGGGAGGCGGGACTCCTGGGTTCTATTCCCAGAAGGAGGCAGTTTCTTCCATTGCTCTTTCATCTCCATCCCTCAGCCCCATCTGGGGCCCCCCCAGCTCCCCCCAAGGATGGGGGTGGGCCATGCAATGTGGTGATCTGGGGCCCAGGAGGGGGTGGCGGGGCCTCAGAATCCCGCTCCCCAGCCCCCGCTCTCAGGGGCTCCCTGTCGCTGTCCCCCCAGCCTGCTCATCACTTCCATGGGGCACATCAAGCTGACAGACTTTGGCCTCTCCAAGATGGGGCTGATGAGCCTCACGACCAACCTGTACGAGGGCCACATCGAGAAGGACGCCCGCGAGTTCCTGGACAAGCAGGTGAGGCCACGGGGCAGGGGATGGGGGGCCATGGGGTGGAGCTACGGGGGCCCCTGATGGGGGGGATCAGGCAGGGGATGGGCATTAGGACAGGGCTAATGGGGCTCAGTGGGGGCACTAGCCGAGGGCTGACGGGGTGGGGGGCTCAGCAGGGGCTGGGGGCACTAGCTGGGGGCTAATGGGGTGGGGGGCTCAGCGGGGGGCTGGGGACACTGGCCGAGGACTGATGGGGGGTGGGGGGTGTCACGGAGTCCCCGGGCGATGCTCTGGAACTGCTCCCCACAAAGCCAGTCAGGACTCCGGGGAGCCTCCTCTCCCTCAGAGCAGACTGTCTTCAGGGCAAGACGCTCACTTGGGTCTCTCCTGGGAGCATTCAGCATATGTCCCTCCGTGCGCTTCCCACAGCGAGTCCGCCCCGGCGGGGTCCTGGGGAAGCCAAAGGGTTCTGCACCCCCACTTC